GCGCCCCAAAGGGGAAAAAAAAAAAAAAAAAAAAAAAGACGGATTCCTCCATCCACACCAACTACATGGATGAACGAATCTGTTGCTGTGTACACTGTATTCTGATATTGACACTAGCAGCTGTCAGAATACCCGAACAGCGCTTGCAGATGATGAATGATCAATGAATTTCCATCATGTCCCTTCAGCAAAAGTTGATCTAATCTGACTTCTGTCGAGGGGATAGGGTCACCCTTGGATTGAATTTTGACCGATTCATGCTGAAATTCGCTCTGTATGTTCCCAGCTTTACTGTGTACCCCACTCGCACATACACGTGAAGACACTTCTCCTTCTCTTCTAGAAGAAATTGGACCTGTAAGCATATTCAGTCTGCAGAAACAGTCAACCAGTGTGCCAGCAGTGCTGGGCTTTCTTATAAGTAAGCCCACCATTCTGTGCAAGCAGAGCATCATTGAAGTACCTTGTATAAAACTTTTATAGTACAAAAAACATTTAATAGAGGTATACAATATATATAGATCAGTTTTATGAATCTGTAAACATTTTCTAAAAGTTGAAATAAAATTGTGTAACAGCCCACAGTTTCCCTTTTAAACTCCCCAGTTGCCATGACTTTGCTGTGTGTTGCTCATGCGTGTGATACATGCAGTCATTGTGTTTTTACAGATCCTAACTGCTGTACACATATATATTGCTTTCAGAGAAACTGAGCCCCGAGGCCGCCAGGATACTAAAACAGATGGAGGAAGAACAGGAGAAGAAGGAGAAGTCTGAATCTGTGGACAATGAGGAATCGTCAGAGAACGACGTCTCCAGGGAGAGTGTCCGGAAACGCACCGTGAAATCCTAAACCCCCCTCAGTCTTGTATAACAGGTATGTTATTCTCTGATCCTCCCCAGCAGATACATTGCCTGGTGTTTTGTACGGCCTAAATTATTTCACATGTTATAACATAGGGATGCACTGATACCGTTTTTTCGGTATCGAGTACGAAGACCGATATTTTTTTTTTCCCCGGTACTCGCCGATACCCAATACAGATACCGGAAGTCCCATTAAGGAAGCCCCAGGTGACGAGGAAGCATGGAGCCAGCTTTCTGGCCAATCAGGAAACCAGGGGCGGCGGGTAATGACCTGCTTCCAGACCAATTGTGAAGCCATTACACGCCGCCCCGGCTTCCTGATTGGCCTGGAAGCTGACTCCATGCTACCTCGTCACCAGGTGACGAGGAAGCATGGAGGCGGCTTTCTGGCCAATCCAGAAGCCGGGCAGCATGTAATGGTTTGCTTCCTGGGACTGGAAGTTCCGGTATTGAGATAAGTATCGGGAACATATGGACGAGTACTCGCCCAAATACTCGGTATGGGCACCAATACCGATACTAGTATCGGTGCATCCCTATTATATAGTGTCAGGATTTGGGGGTGGCAGCAAAACTTTTAAAAGGGTCTTCCTCTATAAATGGCTATTACTAATTGACTGCCTCTTGAAACATGCACAATTAATCCCTGGGCAGCCATTTTTGTGGTATGATTGGTTGATCTAAGTTGGGGACACCAGGATTTTATTCATGGCTTCAAAATAATAATGCAATTTGTTAATGTTAACATGTGCCTTATCCTTTAGGGCTATTTCACATGGGCGTGCACGCCCATGCAAAGACCCGATCTCAGGAGGGGCAGGTGCTGCGTGTAATTGCATGCAGCAGCCAGTACCTCCCTATAGGTTACATGCAGACTCAAGCCTACACATCTGTGCGGGTCTGGGTGCCAGACAGTGTGCATCCAAGTGCGGGCTCCCAGACCCGTATGGATGTGCAGGATCGGGTCTGCGTGCAGCTGCATCCTCCCATGGGGGGGGGGGGTACAGGTTGCTGTACACAATTACACACAGCGCCTGTCCCTCCCAGGATTGGGTCTTTGCATGGGCCCCAGTGCAGTTGGGCGTCCCCTGCCGTGCAAGGGTTAACTGCACGTTTTTGTCCAGCGGTATTGAGTAAAGGAGTTTTACTTAACTGATTCCTGCTCCCACTGGCTCCAAGACCAGTGCTCGCAGTCTCTTCCTCCTTACGCTATAGTGGTTGGAGGCCCGCTGACGTCATCACATCTAATTGTATGTGAGGGACGACAAGGGACAGTTCACAAGCTGGGAGTGTAGATGAAATAGGTGACCACTGACTGGGGGGGAGCCGGGGTTAGGTAAGTAAAAGTCCTGTAAGTGATATCCCTAGACAAAAACGAGCAGTTACCCTCCCCC